CGTGGAATTAAGGAAGAATCTCCCATACATTCATAGGTATTTCAGGACTCAGTCACAACTGGATCAGTTGAAGCCAAAAACATATAAGCAAACTGAATGCAGTAACACATCATCCAGAAATTACTTAAAGGCAACAGTGATCTAAAAGTTCATTTTTCTTGAGTTCTTCTTTACAAAACTGCAGGACATTTCTCCCTGGCTCATAACCAAGTCTTGCTAATGCTGTGTTCTCTAGTTATTCCTAATGCTGATGAGATAAGGAACAAACGGATCAATGCTCTCATTGTGTTTACTGGGAAACCAACAATCAGGACAGAGGACTGAATTCCCTGAATCGTAATTACACGTGAACTTGCTGAAGTATCCCTCTATGTTGCTCCAATTTTTATGAACAATCAGTAACAAAAACATGAGGAAAAAAACAAACAACAGTGTAAATTATAGAAAAAATGGACAGAAAATATGACAGCATACCATGAATGAATTCTAGCTGTCCCCTGCTTTGGCCTCTGGACATTCTCAGTTCATAAATCACATGTCAGATCTCACCTTCACTCCTCTCAAAAATTCTCATGTTTGGCATAACCAGGAAAAAAAAAATCTTATTTCACTGAGATTACCTGCCAACCTGAACTATTACCATGTATATTAAAGAAAGTTGAGAAACCTTGATATTACCTCACAGTAAAGTTAATACCAGGTATTCCTATTGTCCCTTATATGAAGGGAATTTGAAATAGATCCATCAGCCTTTTGATGCTAGTGAACTACTCAGCCATCCAGCTGCAAAACTGACTGAAAATGGAAACAAGAAAATATTTCATAAAAGGAAAACTAGGATGAAAAACTGAGACAAAAGGTTTAAAGAATGGTTTAAAGTATGCTTTATTTACCAGACATACAATAGTTTAGGAATTTCTTGCTTTGACATGTAAAAATGTTAAAAACGAGATCTAGTACAGCAGCCCATGACACATGCTTGTTGTGCAAATTCCTCTATTTTTCTCTGATATGTTTGATTGCTGTCCATTGTTGACAACAGACTTCTAGTACAAAGGAACTCAGTTTGGTAGCCTGTGTTGTTCCCCTTGGGCTGTTTTGCTAAAAAGAGATACTTGGGGACTGACTGAATTCTTTTGTTATTTTTAAATTCCCTGGGAAAATGCGGGCTCTCCGATCAGGAAAACACGTAACATTATGGAAGCTGAATGCAGGAAGTTCCTATGATTTAGGGAACTACACATTGTTTTTTTCAGTAATCACACTTTTGCAGATACATTACACAGAAAGAAATTTCAGGCTCTTGATTTCTGATAATTCTTTCAACATGGTAACACTGGTAAAAATAACAAATGATTTTAAAAAGTGTTGTTTAATCCCAATTTTTCTGCCTGCTGTATTATAAATGAAAGATTCTCCAGAATAAAAGTTTTGCACTTCAGATCCTTCCTTAGATATAAAAAAGAACAGCCTTGTGCCATCCTCAGTGATAGCAAGTGACAGGCTGAGAATGACATCACTCTTTATTTTTAACCGCCTGCCTTCTGGTGAATTTATTTCGCTGTCAAATATTACAACAGTGTTAGTCACATTCAGGCTTTACAGAAACAGAATCATTTGCTGGGTTTGACCCCAGAAGGCAGCAGTTCTTCCCTTTTGAAAGAGAGAATATTTATTTTCAAATTTGCAACAGCAGCTTGCCTCAGCAGCCGGATTACTAGGAATGTCTTAGAGAAATGCTAATATGTGTCAAAGGTCTACAACAACCAAAAGCATCCATGTGAATTTTGCCATTAGAGTTATGCTGAACATAGACTCAAAGAACAGGCTAATCACCTGCAAACATAGCAAACCCTGTGCTCAAGAACACAAGTCAGCAGCTAATTTGCTACAGGTATTTAATTAGACATGCCACAAGTTTGAGTCCAGCAGCTTTAACAGCTAGACTATACCTATTACCACTAATATCACTTATCCTCCTATTACTACATATCCAATGCCTAAAATAGGACTGGGTTAGTAAGTTCGTTGCCAGAGAATGCGAGTTAAAGATGTGCTTCCATCTTTGTACAGAGTGAAAGCCTTTAAGGTGAGGAAGCAGAGAAACTGCCCCAAGAGAGCAGAATCCAGTGCAGATCATGTTCATGCTACCTTTTCTCCACCACCTTTATAAATCTATTTGCTTTTTGTCATCCACTAGCATATCTTTTGAGTTCCCTCCAAGGGGAACACTGTCACTCATTATTCAAGCACATTGTGGCATTAATTACTATCACATCAGCAATGTTATTACTAAATAATGCTGCTACCAGTAGAAGTCCAAGTTTTGTATGAATTGCTCTCCTAAAAAATAGAACACAGAAGTTTGACCTCTGTCGTCCTTTCTAACACTCCCTCGCCAAATCACTCATTTCAGGCAACTGCTACCACACGTGAAGTCAGCAACAGCACGTACACAACTTAAAAGCACAGAACAATTATTGGTTAATTCACACAGGAGCTATTAGATTTTTAATACGCTTTTCTCCTTTAGAAAGTCGCCTGATGGGTCTTCAGTCAGTCATCGACCAGTAGAGAAGGGCTAGCCTTGTTTCCTGCTATAGACTAGCCCTTAGTCATGCTGTTTCTGTCCTTACTTTTCTCTCAGAAAATTAGTATCTTTCATGCTTACATTTTTTGTCATGAAACAATTTTATCTTTATTTCCAATTTTACCTTTCTTATCTTGTTTGCATAGTTCAATACTAAGTACTTTCTCACAACACTTTCTCACCATTTAGCAGATTTCTCAGAAGTCAGAACTGTTGTTCAGCTGAGCTGCGTAAAAACAAGGCTTGGAGTAACAGACAGGTAAGAGACTGCACTCACCATAGCTGAATAACATAGTTTGGCGTACAAATTCTGAACAGCACTTGTTCTCCTAGTTTCCATTTAGGGTATATGTTCTGGATGATATCTGCTTATAAATTACTCTGCTGACACTGAGAAAACCAGCAATATGCCTGTAAGGAAATACTCTTGTTGTGGTTTAACACCAGTGGTTAGCTCAGCAGCATCATGCTGCTCTCTTGCTCACTCTCCTCAAAAGGATAGGAAGAGAAAACACAATGAAAACAAAAACAGCTTATGGGTTAAGATAAGGAGAGGGAGATCACTCACCTATTACAGTTATGGACAAAACAGATTCAGCGTAGGGAGATTAATGCAATTCATTGCTAACTAATACTAAACTGGAACAGTGAGAACTGAAAGTAAACAGAAAGCACCTTTTCCCCATCCGCTCTCTTCTACCAAGTGGTGCTAGGGAATGGGTCATTCCATAACGCTTCGTATCCGTCGCGGTCACTCTGCCCCTACTCCACGCGGGTCCCTCTCACAACATCCTTCCTAACTGACCCCACGTGCCCTTCCCACACGCTGCAGCTCTCCCAGCACCACCCCAACAAGGCTCCGTAGCGCCGGGCCCACCCTTCGGGCACCGCTCCACTCGGGTCCCCACGGCCGCAGCTCCCCCGGCCCTCCCGCCCCAACGCGTGTACTGGGAGGGGACGACCCGCTCCTCCGTGGTCGCTCCATGAGCCCGGAGCTCCTGCCGCGCCGAACTCGGCTCCCGCGGGGCCGTTCTCTCCCATCTCGGCTCCCCTCTCCCGGCTGCTGTCGCACGGCGGTTCGTCCCTTCCTTCCGTCCGCTCTCGCAGAGCGCACCCGGCGTCGCTCACGGCTCAGCTCTGGCAGCGGCGGTCCCTCTGGAGCAGCTGGAGCTGGCTCTGCTCACACATGGGCAGCGCTGCTCACTGAGCACAACCCTGCAGCCCACCACTACCAAACCGTGACACGTAGGCTCAATACACATTAAGGACAGCATCCACAATTACTTCCATGTTGCCATTATTTGCCAGACCTGTTGAAGCAGGTCCAGAGGAGAACCAAAGATGATCAGAGGGCTGGAGAACATTTCCTATAGAGAAAGGCCCAGGGATTTGGGTTTATTTAGTTTGGAGGAGGCTATGGAGAGATCTCACTGTCGCCTTCCAGTACTTAAAGGAAGCTTATAAGCAGGAGGGAGGCTGACTTTATGTTAACATAGTCTGATAGCGATAGGGAAAAGCGGAATAGCTTTAAACTAAATGAGGAAAATTAGGTTCAGTGTAGGAAATATATTTTTACTCAGAGGACAGTGAGGCACTGGCACAGCTGCCCAGAGGAGCTGTGGTACCCCATCCGTGAAGGTGTTCATGCCAGGTTGGACAGGTCCTGGGCAGCTGAGTGAGGGGGCAGCCCTGCCCATAGCAGGGGTTTGGAATTAGATGGGCTTTAATGTCACTTCAAACACATATCATTCTATGATTCTATCATCTTTTAAGCCTGTGAATTCTGAAACGCAGCTTTTCAGTGTGGATAACATTAACCTACCCAATCCACATTTTCGCCTTGGGTTCCACTAGGGCTTCCTATATTTGTATCGAATATAACCCTGCTTGTAAATCAAGTGAATACAATTAGAAAATAGATACAAAGTCACCTATCAGCCAGCAATTCCTGTACCTCGCACCAAACGCTGCAGCGAGGGGCGCCCACGTTACCGAGGCTGCGTGCAGGAAACTCGGGACGAGCCTGCCACCTGGAGGACGCTCCTCGGCAGGAAGCAGCCGGCCCTGGCTGTCGCTCACACACACGCAGCCGAAGCCTTTGGCTCCGGAGGAGGCGAGCCCGCAACCACACGGCAAACAAGCGCCAGCCTCGCGCTGTGGGGCTGCCCCTGGCCGACGTGGCGGCGGGGCCGAGCTCCCCGGAGGCACCTAGCCAGCGCCAGAGAAAACGGTGCCGCAAAGAGCTGTGAAATAAACAGCAGGCTCGTCTTTCTGCGTTTATTTGTTAGCTGTCTCAGCCAGCACCAACCACAGAGTCAACCGCAACCAGCGCTGTCAGCTCACCCCACCCCGGCGTCGCGCCAGCGTTTTGCGCATGCGTCCCGCCGCTCTGCGCAGGCGCAGAGTGGGACGCGACAGCGGCGGCGATGGGCGGGAGGTTGGCGCGTGTATTCCGGACATTCAATGTGGAGAGCCGGGCCCGCCGCGAGATCAGCAAGGAGAAGCCCACCCCAGCGCCGCGCCACCCCACCAGCCGCTTAGACGAGCTGACCGGTGAGGGCCGGCTTCACCGGGGCGGCTGCAGCTAGGGGTGCCGCCCGCGGGAGAGCTGGGCCTGCGGTACAGGCTGCGCGGGAGGAGCGCCGCAGAGCGGGACCGGGCGGGAGAGGCGTGGGATCGGGGCCGCGCGGTGGGCTGAAGCGGCGCGGGGCCGTTGACATTGAGCGGGGTGGCGCGCGGGGCATGCCGGGAACGCGGAAGGCGGCGTTGGGCGGAGCCGTCGGTAGGGCAGTTGCTAGGGGACGCTCCGCTGTGTGTGTGGGGAACTGCGGGTAACGAGCTGTAACGGGGACGGGCTGGTGCTGGGGCACGGCTAACAGAAAGGGAAGTTTTGTGACTCGCCTCTCTGCTTTTTTTTTTTTGTTTGGTTGGTTTTTCTTTTTTTTGTTCTTTACCCCTTCACCTTCAGACCGCCCTGAGATACAGCAAGAAATTTCCAGGAAGGACGACAGGCTCCTCACCTTGTTAAAAGATGTTTATGTGGAGTCCAGAGACCCCCCGGCACAGGTGAGTGCTTATATGTCTGTAGGAGGCATACGAGCATTAGCTCTGTTGTTTTCAAGTCCAACACAAATTCTAAGGCATTTTTCTTTTTAAAGGGTAATGCTCTGTTAATGCCTAGAAGCTTTGCTGTTGGTAGATAAACGTGATGTTTTCAGTGCTCAGTTATACACCAGTGGCACAGATTGTGATCATGCAACCTATATGCTTACAGTCCTCCACTTTAACATAGCAGTGATCTTCTTTTGTTCTTCACTGAAGTTTCAGTTTCTGCTCCCTCAGATGCAGAGGGGCAGTTGGCCAACCCCTCTGAAAGATACTGTTTGCCAGAGATGTCCCATGTGGCTCTTAGAAGAAAAGAAGTTGGGACTGATGTTGAGGCATGATATGGTAGATAGCAAAGGCATTAAAAGATTTCTGATGTTAATGACATCTCATACAGAGCTTTTTCCTTATGTGGCTCAGGAAATGCCCGGGTTTGTTTATTCTTGTACAACCTTGTGGACTGTTTGGCCATCAGGTTACTCACTGCAACACTGCCGTCTTTGACTTGGAAAGCAAGGCATACCCCATCCAGTAACAGGATGTCTGGGGCGTAGTCTCCTTTTTTTTCACCTTCTTCCACCTTTTTACCTGTTGCATTATTGGACCATTTTATTCTAGCTCCTTCTTTCACTAGTAAAAGCTTTATACTCATCTAGCAATAACATTTCTAATTATTCCTAAGTATTTCTGATTTGCCACATCCACAGTACCATCCATTTAAGGCTAAAGTATTTTAAAAGACGCTCTTTCCTGAAGCTTCCAAATAATCTCTATCCTTAATTTTCGTAATAGAGGTTAGGACTCTTAATCTTGCAGAGCTGAAAGTTTAATTGCAGTATAGAATCATAGAATATCCCAAATTGGAAGGGACCCGTGAGGATCAACAAGTTCAACTTCTGGATCCAAACAGCACCACCCAAAAATCAGACCATCAGCATCAGCAGAAACCAGCATTGCAGCAATATCTTTAAACGTTTTCATTTGTAAGCCTGTCAGGAGTAGTTTCAGGAAAAGCCACAAGTGGAACAAATCTCAGTGCTTCATTCTGTGCCTCCTGCAAGACAGCTGCCACATAAGACTTGCAATTCTGGTGTGTCTGCCTGAAGTTGTTAGGAAAAGCATGGTTAATGTGTTAGCAGAGAGGCTTGTGAGCAAAAGTTTCTTTCTAAAAGCTTCCTTCTTGTCCTGATGTTTTTTTTCTGAACACTTCTTTCCTCTGAATACTTTGTGCAAAGTGTATACATATTTGGTGTGTCTGTGTTACATGAAAAAGTATCAGCTTTCAGTCCTGTAGTGACAGATACCTAAAGATAGGTCATTTTGTTAAGGCTTGAAAAGTTATTCATTATCTGAGCATAACAGGCAGTTACAGATGCTATAGCATCCACATTAGTTTTTTCAGCTTTGGGTTAATACAGTAGCTGCACACACTTTCCTTTAAAAGTATTTCTTAAGAAGGTTTCCATTGTTTCTTTTTTTGTAGTGTCATTCATCAGTGAAATCTTAATAAAAAGCAATATAGGGAAGGTAGAGCAGGTTTGGAAATGATTTAGAAAAGGAAATACAAAAGGACTTGAAAGAAGAGACTTTCTGTGTCTGAGTACTGCAGTGGTCTTGAGATTTAAATTGCACATGATGGTGCTAAAGTTTTTCTTTGTTCAGCAGAGCTTGTTCTAGAGACAGCATGAGAGGTGATAGCTTTCAGTTGCAAAACTGAAATACGAAAATGAAGGAGAATGAAAAGGATACCAGTTTTCAGTGTGATTTTTTTTTTTTTTTTTTTTTCCCTTCTCCTCCCCACTGGCGTGAATCAGCATCAAATATTAGGTCATCTGCATTTACATTTGGCTGCCAGATGGCTTGTATGAAGGCTGCTGGGTCTGTACAGCACTTCAACAGTACTGGATTGTAGCGTTTCATGATGCGGATAGGGAGTTGGCCCTCTATATGGAGTGGCTGTGCAACAACTAGCTGTAATGTCTTTGACATTAAGAAGTGAGGGTGGCTAAGCTAAACTTTTTATGGCTGTAAAAATGGGAAAAATTAATGGGCAATGCCATATTTAGAGAAATAGCTTAACTGTTACAGTATGCATAGTAAAAGGAACTGCTGTTAATCTCTTTGTTTTTCTTCCCACAATTAGGTAAAAGATGGAGGAGGTGAACATCTTCCGCGTAAACAGGTGGAAAAGAGATTGACAAAACTAGGTCACTTGGAAGAGCTAGATATTAAGAAAGTTCCCAAAGGCAAAATTTCTATTGTGGAGGCTTTGATGCTTCTTAATAATCATAGACTTCATCCTCACATATGGACTGCAGAGAAAATAGCAGCAGAATACAGTCTGGAACTGAATGAAGTCAACTCTCTTCTGGAATTCTTCATTCCTTTTTCCCTTCAAGAGTTTCCTAAAGAAACAAGAAAAGCTATAAAACCAACATAAGAATATTTACAAAAAACTTGTGTGATCTTGTTTGTGTCTTAATTATACTCCTGAATATATTCAGTGTCTGAAAAGTGCTGGTAATGTGTTATTCAGCAAGGTTGCTGTCTTGTACCAAAAAGATGTATTCAGGCAATTCCATTCAGTATTTGATAGCTTCAGTTAAATCTGGTAATTACAGGACAGAGTTTGTAAAACAGATTTTAACAACTGAGTTGTATGAGAGCCTGTCACAGGATTCTGATTGTTGCATTCACGTTTTTTTCATTCAGTTAAAATACTCAAGTTCTATTTAGAAATTTAACTTAAACAAACAAACAAAAAAACCCCAAACAGGTTGTCTTTCTTAACAGAGACTTCCTGGCCTCCAGCAAAATCAGTGCTCTGTGTGTATTAGCTTTGTAATTCATGTTGCAAGGACTTGCTCTCAAGGTGTGTGTATGTTAAAGCAGCTGTATTTCTACTGTATAAAAGTTTAATACTTATGCTTTATAAAGAGCGTTAGCCATAAGAAGATGTAGGATGCTCAGCTGTGTCAAAATACAAAGGTGAATAGCAGGAAGGCTTCTTCCTGATGACTAATGTGTGACCGCTCTTCTACTCCATTCTGATTTTGCTGAATTATCTGTAGCTCCCCAGGTTCTCTTCATCAGTCGCTGAATTTGTAGAGTAGAAATCTAGTACGGCAGTCTTTTGCAGCAGCCTGTGGCACTTGCTGTATGGGAAGTAATGGTTCACGTAGTAGGTAGCTGTTAAATGCAACTGTATCTACTGATTGGACCCATTAGTAGATCTTTTGTGAACGTCTACCTGTGCTGTTGTAATAAGCCTTTTTCCCCCACGGAGGCCTTCTCTGATTCATCCAAGTACAAGCTTAGATCAGCCTGTTCACTGATAAACAAGTTTTCCTCAGGCTACCACACTCAAGATAGACAGCATCCTTTAGTTTTTAGTAAAGAAAGTTAAACTGAGGAGATAACTGTAGCATTGATACTCTGGGTCTGTGTAGATAAGGAAGAAGTTTAGTGTTGCTGGCAAGTACTGATTAATGAAAACTGGTTCATGTTCTCCAGCTGACTTAGAAAAGAAAGCAGAGTTTATGTTTAAAATTACAGTATGATTGGTTTCATTTAAAAAATAATAGTGTTGAAATGTTTACACTGCAACGTGAATGTTTCTAATGCCCATCATCAAAAAAAGGTAAATGTAACTGCCTTTTTAATGACTTCTTTGTTAGGTCTTAGGATTCTGATTATGGTAAATATTTTACCAAGAACAACATCAGCTTTGCTATTTCATAGCAAGATTCTTACCGCTTCTCTGAGGTGAAACAAAGTGTTTAATTATAGTTTGCCACAGTGTATTCAAGGATTTTTTTAAAGTATGTATCATTATAGACTAGTGAAAGATTGTGTAAAAATTCTGATTGGTCTTGGATGTGGGTAACCTGTAACTTCATGGGGACAGACCTGAACTGAAAATAACAAATAATAATTCTGAGCTGTGAGCCACGTTATAATTTACTTGTTTTCCACAAAATACCCTTCTATGCTGTAACAGAAACACTGTATTTTTTCAGTACTGTTCATCCTAGTGTAATATTTAAGGTGGAATTCAGTTGTGGAATACATTTGGTACAGATACTTTATTTTTGTAGGATACTCTGTGATTTCCTCATTTGTAAATGGATCTTCAGTTATGCATTGGAGTTAATTAAAAACTTGCTTTACAATCAGCATTAGACAGTGGTTTAACCATGCCCCTTGATTCAGTACTTGCTTTGGTATTTCTTTTACACTTTTAACTTGGTTTTGTCTATTCCCTTTCCTGTGGCTGTTCAGCTGTTGGCATAAGAAGAAGGTGTTCTTCAAGCAAATGTTTTGAAGTGGTAATTATAGAGAATTTATGGGGATCTGCCATACAGGTTTATGGGAATCTTATGTGGTTAATTTCTCATGTTTCATTTCTATGAATGTGCTGTGCCAAATTTCAAATGTTTTTGACTGCTATGTAGAATTACTAGATTTGGTAAAGAACAATTTACACTGTTCTGTAGGAGTGTTCCAGCAGGTATTCAGGCTTTCAGTCTTGAATTTTCTCTGAGATGTCTCTAGGGGGAGTCTATTTGCTCACTTGTCTGTGTTTTCTGGGATGTTCTCACTTCAGTGCATCCGTTTCTCTAGCATTCTGTAAGTTTGTATTCCCAGTCTTCTCCAGCCAGTCTTCTCTGCCAGGTTGTATGAAAACTTTATGTAGCTGCACTTTTTGCTTTTTACTGACTCACAGGCAAATGTTGCTTATGTTCTGATATCACGGTATCAATGACCTGTTTTATTACAGCAGAGTGGTATCTTGCCTTCCAGGAGTAGCATATATGAGGAAAACGTGAGAGGATTGAGCAAATGTTCTGTTCTGGAGAACTCATGACAGATTTTCAAAAGGGATGCAGCTTTTCATACATCTTCAGCATTTGTCCTTTGAAGTATTTTAAACTAGAATAGATCTTGTGCTGCCTTTCTTTGTATTAATAGCGGCCAGGTTCTTGCAGTTTGATGCTGAGATAGCAGGTTCAGTGTTGTAAGGCAAGAAAGAGGTTTAACTCCACTTCTTGTGCAGTTCAGTGAGAGGGAACTTCAGTTTAAAAACCAAAAAAAAAAAAGCAATGTTTCTGTAGTTATCCAGCATATTCAACCAAACTGTCTTTTAAGCGACGTATTTTTACCCAAGAAGGAAAGAAAACAGTGCTCATAAGTTAGATATATGTACTAAACTTAAAGAATATCTTATTTCTGTGTTGGAAAATGGGATCAAACCTCAAGTAGTCGTAATACAGGATTGAAACCTCTGAAGTTTAAAAGGGTCTCTTTGTTTCAAAGGGCCTTTTTCATATAAGACTTTACTTTCTTGTTTGAAATTCCAGGAAGCTTCAGGTTTCATAGTTCCGTGCTGGAATGCTTTTAGAACAGGAGTTTTCTGGTTGTCATGTGGCAATGGTGTTGAATTCAGAGCGACAGCTATAGGGATCTGCTCAGTGCAGGCAGGCTTCAGTGCAAATGGCTTTTGGTACTTGAGACTGGAAGGGCAAGGAAGGTCTGTGCTGACTGACGTGCTATCAATGATCAAACCACTGCATTGGTGCCTGTCGTTACTGAATACATCTCAGTAATCTGTGAACCTAGTTAATTTTGTAACCTTCCATGATTTAGGTAGGTACTGCCACATTATTACTGGTGTTAAGTGTTTTCTGTTGAGGGCTTCCAGAGAAAGCTTTTGCAATAGAGAGAACAGCCCCTTAGAAGGTGATGACAAGCTATTTAGCCCGCATCAGTATTGGGTGTTGTAAGAGGGTGCAGTAGGACCATCCATGGTTTTTGGCCTCCTGACAAAGTGTGGCACTGCTGCATTAAAAGAGAAGAAATTGAAAGGGAGCTGTAGCAGAGTAGTCAGCTCCTATTATGGGGATGTAAGGCTTTTGTAGGAGTGAACCCCTGTGGCTAGGTGCTCTGGTGCACAGGAGCAGTCATACCTGTGAGTGGGGTTACCCTATAGAACGGAGTCCATTGATGCTGCTGGTTCCAGCCAGGCTTATTCCTGCCACAGGCTTTTGTAAGCAAAAGCATGGATGTAAAGTAACTGGTAGGTCTGCTTATGTGAGAGATGTTTGGAGAAAGAAAAGCAGCTCTGGCAACCTGCATGTGGCTGGGAATGCTGAGCTGGTGCTAACTGCCTGTCTTGGCAGAGAGAATTGAAAAAGAAAAAAAAAAAAAAAAAAAAAAAAAAAAGATGAAGGCATAGTCTCCAGAGTGCTTTCTCTGAACTAGAGGATGCCCTGTTCTTAATTGCACAGAGCTTTGTTCCCAGGGGGAAAAAAAAAAAAAAAAAAAAAAAAACAGGAAAACATGCTGCAGGTTGTGATTCAAGCAGTTCTGACTCGCCCCAGACCAGGTGCTGCCTGGGCCACAGTTGTGCTGCAGGGTTGAGGTGCTGGGCAGGAGGCTGTGTGCTGTCACTCTCAGTTGCCTTCAGTACTGGTCCTTGTGCTGGTAGCTCAGCATTGTACCCTAAAGCATGCTATGGGCCAGGCTGTAAGCTCCCTCCTGTTGAAGAGGAGAAGTGGGTTCGAGCTTATGTATTTAGAACTGAGAAGCAGTCTTTTACCCTTGTCCGCATCAGTTGCTATCTTTTGGTTGGATCAAACACATTTGTGTTACTTCTATTACCAACCATGTCCACAGGGGGGAAAAGTTACTAAAATTGGGCATAGTACCAAAATGTGCCTGAATTTTTTGAGTACACTATCTGCCAGTTCTTGATTTGGGACAGGAAAAGTTTATTGTAAAACCTATTTTTATAGTCTAGTAAAATATTTTTATGTTTGATATGAGATGTCGTTTATTGCTAAGAACAGTTCAAACAATGCAAAATATTTGGTTCAAAGATATCCCTCACTTTGCCATCTAATGGGAAATACTTTGTTATTGTTCTAGTCAATCTCAGAAACAAATGCTAAGACTTCTGATAAGCAGAAGTTCATCCCAACCTGGTTGCTACCATTCACTCCCTTGCCATGATCCCGTCCTCCCACTCTCCCTACTAATTTGTTGCTGGGTGCCATCTGGCAAGTCTCTAGCCCTGTGTCACAGATCTATAATTAACTAAAGCTACAGTGTACCTAAAGCTACAGTGAAACTGGAATAAATAGGAAGCAAGTGCATCGAGTAGCAGTGAATTAAAGCAAAGCAGGCTACTGAAGATGTCTTCAGGAAGAAATAATGCCACTTGTCTGGTTTTGTTCCTCCACAGGGGAAGAGATTGGGAATAAAATTCATATTGTATTCCTCCTTTCTCAACTAGCTGTCACCTGTTAAAGATTTCATGTGTGGGAACAAATTCATAGTTGTTGTCACTTAAAGATAAATTCTATCAGCTCACTTCTGCACATGCAGTACTTTAATATTAAACTGGAACTGTTTTTCCTGTGACTGGCATTTAATCACAGTTTCTTAATCTTTTTGGAAACAATACACTATGTTGTATATTTTTAATAAAGGTTATTTGAATTTTACCATGGCCACAGGTCGTGACTAAAAGCTCACAAGATGCAACTAAAAGCAAGTCTTGTTTCCACCAGTAACAAATATCCATTTGTAATGCATTGGTTCAATAACATAAATAGTTCTCTAGCCTTAAAAAGTAGTGGAAGAACAGTGTTTCTGAGAGATCCTAAGGAAAAAACATAGTTTTTATGACAGAGCGTTATAGGAAAACCTCGTTGGGCTTTTATACTCAAAATGTTGCATTTTCTGCAATTCTGCTGCTTTGGAACTTGTTACAGAATTGAACCCTTGCTTCAGCATTGTGCTTTACAATACAACATTCACTTCTTCCAAGATATGCAATTAATTCTCAGTCAGGACAAAGGCCTGAGCTGAGTGTAAGCCATACTACTCAAATCCTACTAAGATTGCTGCAACCTGCAATCATACTTTTCAGAAATATGAACCAATCCCATTGTGTTAGCTGCTAGCTACTTCTGAAAATGAAAAAGGAAAATCTAAATCTAGTTAAAATAGAAATGCAGAATATGATATTAATGTAAACAAATTACATAAAGCTTTTGACATGCTGTTGTTCCATTGTGTCTCGAATTTAACCTCTCTGTGGTAATTTCCCTTTTAAAAAGAAGTCATTTTTAACAGAGTATGAAAGGCCTCTCTTAAAATAATACTTTATCCTTGTTGAAGCAACAGCATCTTCTTTGCTATCTCCTGCACGTATCATCAGGACTTCTCAGAATGAGGAGGAAAATCAGCAGACAAATAGTGCCAGGCTAAAGAACGCCATGAAGGATTTTGATGTGCTTTGTCCTGTCTGTGCAGGGCACAGTTACATGGCGCTTGTGCAGTCTTGATCAAAGCTTTGTTTCAAGTTGAAGGCAACTTGAGTCTGAACTAACTTCACACACTGCTAGCTTCAAGTTATTTTTGTGATAAGGAAAAGTGATTACTTAAGAGATAAAAATGCAGGGTTTGTTTCAATTGGTCAAACCGTTTCTATGGTTGCAGAGTGGTATCTGAAGATTCAGCTGAAAAAATGTGTCTTAAAGATGAGAAAACAGCTTATCTGTTGCATCCCTGCACTACATTTGCTAGGCAGGAATGGAGTTCCAGGCTTGAGAGGAGATACAGCTTGATGGTTTTGTTACTGGATCCTTATAAGTAACCCCTTTTCCCCAAATAAAACTTTCTAAAAGCCAAGTCCATCTTAACTGCTGGTGGCTTCCTTTCTTTGTTTAATGCTGTTAACTAGGAAAGCTTTGAAGTGCCCCCAGAGATTTATCAGAATATCATGTGACCTTTTTTTTGAAGGGGGATTCAAGGGACCTGAATGCATCCTTTGGGAAGATGACCTTCCAGGATGCACCTAGATCTGAAATATGAAAGCAGATGCAGTGTTTTTTTTTGGCTGTGTTCTGCAAGGTCACTTCACCCCGTGGCTTTTAGGTAAGTCATCGCACAAAGAATTACTTAATTTGCTGCTACGTTTTTACTCTGACTTATCATTAGGAATAATATTGTCTGACATCACCTAGCAGCGGAGAAGAAATAAAAAGAAATATAAGAAATTAATGTTGAATTGTCATAGGCATGATTTTTTTTTAACATATGCATATTTTGCCTTTTCTACATTTAAATTTTAGGGAGGTTATATTTATTTTACCTATAAAATTGCAGGTCATTA